AAAAACAGGAAACAAAACAAATACCATTTCACTGGTGTTTATATTTTAAGCAGTGATTATCATATTAGCAATGGTACTGACATAATGACTCCACTTTCACCTCACTAATATTTAAGTATTAAATGCCTTCCAAATAACAATTGTAACACCACCCTAAATATGTTAGCAATGAAATATAAATGGAAAGAAATCAGAACATAACACAATCTTTATCTTTTACCACTACTGCTATTATTAGAAAGTTTTATTTTAGATATAACATACAGAAAACCAAGGCCCTAATTTCAATACTTTTTTGTTGTTGTTGTTATTCTATCTTGGCTAAGTCATAGGGCTACTACATAATGCACAACTAAACAGAGTATACAGCAATCATCATACAATGAGTAAAGGGTAAATAATGTATTTTTTTGGGGAAAATTTATGTATTGGGAGTTGTTCATATATACTTTTATTACATTTTCTGTTGTAAATAAAATACTAGAAATACTGGTTTTGTGCTCAACTGTTTATCTAGATATGCTCAACGAATAGAAGTCTTAACGGAAGAAGTGTAATTGAAGCACAAATGGAAAGTTTCCTTAAAGAAGAGCTCTGGAAAGGTTATGGTGAGACAGTTACTGAAGCGTACTGCATAGCGCTCTGCTCTTTGCTTCCTTGACCTGTGAGATGTGACCTGATTTTCTCCCACCTTTCATCCAAGGTCACTGCTAAACTTACAGAAAACCAAAAAGAAAATCATACAAAGGAGGAATAGACATGGAAGAGTTTGAATGTGTCTTTTCAAGCACCACGTTGGTTTAAAATAACTTATGATGAAAGGGTCACTTAAGAAGGGCACTGCTTAAAATTTAAGCAGGCAGTAATGGAAAGCGACAGACCTCAAACAATTTAAGTCTTTCACAGCTGAGTGGATTCACAGTGACAGCAAGACAGGATGTGTGAACTTACCTTTGCAGGACCTTGGCTATGGCTTCATAGGCTCTGCCCAGGCTGAGATCATCACCCAGGTGTGTGGAGATTTCACTGTAAGTGTTGAAGACCTATCAGGGAGAGAAATACATACTGAACACACAGCACTGCCATGGCCACTGATATTGCCTTTCAGAATGGAAAAGATTAAAATTAACAGTTATTTTTAATGTCTCTATAAAAATTTTTTGTCTATTAAAAATTCATGTTGTCTTGGTTTATTTTTATCCATAGTATAACTTGTTTCACGGCAATCTCTTTGAGCTGTGACAGTGAAGTCTTGCTATAGTAAAACTAATTATTTTCTTATACTATTTCAAATGTTTCAATTTATGTAACTTAGGTGTGAATAAATAATTGAATGGTTTACAACATTATTTTAAAAGATGGGACTATTATCAAAGGTAATATACAGCAGATTATAATATTGTACTAAGCTTGCTTAAATATCACTTTTCTTTCTATAAATAGCCATTTGAAAAACATGAATTTGGGTGACAGGCCATTTCTAAATCTATCATTTTATTAGATGTACATTTCACAGTGAGTACATAAATATAGTATATACTAAAAATATTTCTTACAAATGTACTTCATTACCAAAAATCTCTTCAATAATCAAAAGATTATTGCTAACATAGGCAAACGTATGATCTTAATTTAATTTAACACTAACATCATCTATATGGTATTATGTTTCACTTTTCTATTCTTTCATCCTTTTCAATGGTCAAAAGGAGAAAAAAACATAAGACGAAGTTCCTTTTTCTTTCTTTTTCTTTTATTGTTACTTGACCCAACCAATTACACACATGAGGCCACAGGAAATCTCCAAAGACCTCTGAGGAAATCCTTTCAACGCATTTCTAGGAAAGAATTAGTGAATATCATCTGATGGTATTTGAGAATAGGCAGGATGTGTGTCGTGGGGGACATAAATATGCCCTGTGTGATACTACGTAAACGAGGCAGCCTACAAGGGTTAGGAATTAACGCAGGATTGATATTTGTCTTCACTTTAAAAGTTAATATTTGCAAAATAATTTCAGTGAGACCATTGTGAAACCTCATTAAACCCGAGTTTCAAGTGGCTTACAAGTGACTGCTTGACATAATGGTGATGCTGAAACTTATCCATGGGTATATACTAACCCAGCATTTTAATTCCTGTTAAGCCTGTGAAGTTCAAATTTTTTGTATTTTTTTCTTTAGAAGCATTTGTTTGCTTTTAATTAGCAAGTAATGATTGTATTTATCAGACACCATGTAACGTTTAGACTATACATTCACTGTAGAAAGATTTAACTGAGCTAATGGATATACCCATCGCTCTCCAACTTGATATTTTTAATGGTAAGAATATTAAAAATCTATTCTTTCAGCACTTTTGAAACGTTCATTATCATTAACCTTGATTCTTACTTTTAAGCCTGATAACGATAGCTTGCATAGATCTGAGAATATTGTTCTCAATCTGTCTCACACAGCCAACAACAACCAGGTTAACCTGATGTGAGTCACATCAGGTTAGGAGTAGGAGGCTCTCAAATTTGGTGAATCGAGCACCAAATATTTAGGAAGATATTTTGGTCCACATATTTTTAGAAGAGATTCTAGAGCATCCAAGTAAGGGTTGAATATTATGTTCAAGCCCAAAATATATCATTTGTTTTTTTCAGCAGATAGCTGTACTTGTCCTAAACACTGTTAGGCCCTAGAAATTCCTACATAGATGGGAACATATGTGCTACCATAAAGCTTCTACAGCCTGGTGGAACAGACTTCAGACTGATACAACTATGTGAATTAGCAATGGCTGAAGAAAGATTTTTCTGGGGTTTAAACTGTGCTCACACTAGATGCTCTCCTATGCCATTGGTGTATGGTAGCTTTGAGAGCTGCCACATATTACCAGAAAAGTGTGATTTTTCAGCCCTTGGATAAAAGGTAGATGCTCAAGTTTGCACAGCTCCTATCCCACATCAGTGTGCCATACTTCCAGGAAACAACAAAGAAGCAAACAACTAAAATATTTTAAAATGGGCTTTTGTCTTTAGTGTGACTTAATTCTATAGTAGCCCCTCCATGGAGACAAACATGGTCTACTGAAATAAACCCTAACTTTAGAGTAAGAAGACTTGGATTCAAGTCCTAGCTCTTCGATACCCAGTACATTGGGACCAGGAAAGTGCTTTAGATTTAATTTCTTCATAAATAAAACAGGAAACCTACTTTTGAGAGTTGTTTTGTTGCTACCATGAGATCATACAAAATGCCATATAATCCTTAGAACAAAAATTTTTTCAGACTCTGCCCACTAAGGGGTCCCTGGCAGGACTTTCCCTTCCCAAAATAAGGACAACCACTGAATTTGTGGGTTTAAGAGAGTTTGGGTATTTCCTTAAACAACTCATCTAAAAGTAGAGTAGTTGGAAGAATATATTTCATTTTTAGCCAAACAAGAAAACAGTCAATTACATGAAATTCACCCTGGGGATCTTGTGGAAGAGGTGGCTTAAGTCAGAGATAAAGCCTCTGCTACTCATACCTGTAGAGTTTATAGGCAATGAACATAATTGATCTTTTTCAGAAGGAAGAGGCAAACACAAGTCAGTATGCTGCTATGTAAATTTCAACAGACACCAAACCCAATGATAATAAGGTTACCAAAGTTGGGAAAGTGAGTCCATGTGTCTAATAAACATGGTCACTCCACCCGTTTGCTCCAATAATTTCAGTAAGAAGTAGAGATGAAGCTTCAAAAACCATTTCACTGGACTTTACAGGCAACAGGCTCTTCTCTCATCAAAATGGAATTGAGGTACTTGGGAAAATTTTTCAGATAAAATCCAACTTCTTAAAAATGAGAAATTACTATTAGTCACATAAATTTAAACAAATGGGTAGAATACTTAATACTTAAAATGAATATGTACAAAAGAATAATGCTGGCTTGCAATGTGCTACAAGTTCTTTGAAGAGTTGTTTGCTGCAAAATCAAACTTCAAAGTTCATTCATTTCTTTTACTTCTCAAGAGAATACTGGATTTAGGTCGAGGTGGTCACCTGCCAACAAAATGGATAGGATATGCATGTGTGTATCTGTCTACATATCCGTCTACCCATCCGTCCATTTACTTGAAAGAGAATAGAAAATTATTCTTGTTAGCTGGGAAGATCGAGATTTTAAAATATATTAGAATAAGTTGCACGCATGAGCTTTGGTATCTTTAAGGTACATGTGGAAAGATATTTTTAGTTCTAACAATATCAAGCACCTGATTGTTTCCTTTCATTTCAATGCTTAAGGCTATCAGTTATGATACGAGAGTACTTTAGAACAACAAAAACACACTGCATTTATCTCTTTTCCTATTTTCTTCTATTTTCCTTTTTCTGACCTGCTGAAATTCCTCTGCTACAGGCCCTTTATTTTAGACAACACTAAGCCATAAAAGAATCCCAACAATCACAGTGCTTAGTGTTGACTTTCATAATTGAAACTTTAAACCATTCTGATGACTATTACTCCAGACTTATCATTACTGAATTAGATGGTAAACTCTAGCTCAGCTGGTCATCCTAAGGAAACGCTGTCCCAACTAAACTAGCTTTAAAATTTTTTAAAGATAATTGTGAAATCACACACAGGTGGAGGAAATAATACAGAGAGGTCGTTTGTACCCTCCACCTAGTTTTTCTCCAATGATATCTTCTTACAGGATTACGGTACAATATCACAACCAGGGAACTGGCATTGACGTGATCTACCAGCCTTATTCACCAGTTTTACATGTTTTACATGTTTTACAGATTTCACCAGTTTTACATGCATTTAAGTGAATGTGTATGTGTGTTTTATGTCATTTTATCACAAGTGTATTTTCATGTAACCATCAACACAAGCAAGATACAGAGAAATTCTATCACTATGAGGATTTCTCAAACTACTTTTTTCTAGTTGGTTTCTCATTTGATGTTTAGAACAAAGAGAAGAGGAGGGCAGAAAATTTTTCTTTCTTTTTCCTGGGTGAAAGATTTGCATTGGGAAATATTTGGCATCTTTCCTTCAGCCTTTGCGTATACCTCCGGTGCCAGTTCCTCTTCCTTGCCAGTTTGACTGGATAAAAGAACTCTTGTAAAGGTGACTGGATTGTGGAGACCCCAACCTCATGAGTGGATTAAACCACTGATGAGTTCATAGTGGGGCCTGGTTGGGGGAAGCAGGTTGTGCAGGCACAACCCTTCCTGGTCCTTGGCCCTTTCTGGCTTTTTCTGACTTGCTCTGCTTCCTACCTGGCACATTCCTCCCTGAGCAGCCCTCCTGCACCAGGCCCTTCTGCCACGAGGTTTTTACCTTGGAGCCAGGCCACCATGGACAGAAACCTCTGGAGCCATGAGCTAAAGAGAAACTTCTCTTTTAAATTGTGGGTTTCACAGACTGGAAGACACAGACACAA